TAACCCCACATGAGTGGGAGTGTGGGTCCCAGGCTGCCCTGGCAGATGCATTTGGAAAGTCAGCTGACTTTGGATGCTGGAAACCCAGGGAGGTGCACACCACTGACTAACTCAGCTAACAGAGACACTGAGCTGGGAAAAACCACTGTGCAAGGATGACCAGCGTTTCAGAGCACACTAGCCACATCACAACCTCTCCTTTTGCCAGAGCACCCACAGCACCTGTCCCACCACCCAGAGGGCACAATTCCTCCATGGCTGCAGCGTGACAGTGGCAGCCCTCATAAGCCAAAGCCAAGTGCCATGTCACATCTACCAGCAGTTTCTGCCGGTTTCACTGGCCACCAGGACCATTAGCTGAGCCAGCCCCCAGGCAAGGTACAAGGCACCCTGTCCAAAGCAGGACCTCAGTGCTGGTACCAGCCTGTGCAGCTCCTGGGCCACAGAGCTCTCCAGAGCTACAGCTTGCCATCTTCACATGATGCACCCTGTGCATTCCCTGCACAACTAAAGGTGAAGAAAAAACATGTTAAGTTCCTAATGGCAGTGCCCAAAGGTACTGCATGTGAAGATAACATCAACAGAGAGAGGCAGCGCGAGTTCTCTTCACGCAAACTATTTCCCAGAGGCAAATGGCAAGGGGGAGAGAGAGAGAGAGAAACAAGTACTGACAGTTTACTGTAGGAGCTCAAAGAAAAAGTGGACAAAGCTAAAAGAACTCCAGCTCTTTGTTCGCATTTAATCCAGTTCAGAGCATTCACTGGTGCATACAGATTTACTTTCCATGGCTGACGGAGCTGGCTATGGTTATTTGGTAAGAAACAGAGGATCTAGGATTTAAATTTTGTACCCTTCAGGCTCTTACAGTTTAGGAACAGTTAGTCTGTAACATATATAAAGTTTTTATCTAATGTAAAAAGTCTGACTGCTGGTTAATATCTTCAAAGAAACAAATCCTCATCCTGAAAGGTGAAGAATGCTTTCTGGTTTTAACACAGACCAAGTTTTTAAGGGGTAGAGCACTGCTTTCAGCTCTTGGAAACCAAGGGAAAGGCCAAGGCCTCCAGTCCCTGCCCAAAGAATCCTGTGTTTTATTTTGTTCCCTCTCTTTGCAACTCTCATCTTGAATTTATATCAGCATTGATTTATCAGAAGCTACTGGAATAGCATAATGCTATTAAAATACCACCATCCACATATATTAATGCAAAACAAATAGCCCAAGCACCTGATGTCACAGTACAATAAAACTATCAAATCACCATTGCAGGATTTTGCTTTTGTGGAGGACAGAGGCCTCGAGTTCCATGTAGCCTGTTTTCTAAAGGCTGTAGAGTCAATTCATCTCAGGCTGAACTTGCAAAACATGGCATTGAAAGCACCAGCAAGGAGGATGTGTGTACAAGAATGGAGCTAACAAAAGGGTTTGAGAGCAGAAGGTAGAGAGTCTGGGCTAGAGAGGGCAGAACTGGAAGGAAGAGCTCAATTGCAAAGTGCAGATGTGTTTGGAGTGATTTTAGCACAGCATACTGAAAACACACACCCAACAAGTGTGGAGAGAAAGGGAGGGGGAGCCAGTAAATCTTAGCAAGTGCTGTCTACAAAACTAATAAATAAAAAAGAGAGCAATAAATGTGGCACAGTGTTAAAAGGCAAAACTGTTTCTCATCCCTCTTCCCCCACCTGTCCCCCTCCAAGCATTTTTGCCAGGGCTCTAAGAAGGACCAGCACGTGGGCTCAACTGGTATTGCTCACACTACTCCTGTTCAGACAAACCCAACCTTTTTCTCCTGACCACTCATGCCCAGCCTTAGCTAAGACCTGAAAAGCAGCAGCTCGTTGTGGTTGGCATCATGTCCCGCGGAGCAGGAGAGCAGCACGTGACACGAGGCCGCCCGGTTGCTGAACTGCTCCAGCCGCTTGCTCAGCTCTTTCCTGTGGAACTACTCATTCCCTCAGAGATTGCTGGCCATAAATGGGATGTTAATGAAATAAACCAAAAGGCCATTCAGGCTACTTAACTACACTTCAGGAAAAAACCCTACCTGGATAGATGACACATGATGTATTCTGGATTAATGTTTCAAGTCAATCTGGCGGAGCCCGATGGCAGGCGAGGTAGAAATATTTTGTTGCAAGTTTGAACATAGTACCAGGATGCAAGGCCAGCTACTTCAGCAAGAGCAGTGATTGAATTAGGGCTGAGAAATGTATCCCTGGCTAGTTTCAAATTAAAAATAGAAAAAAAGAACTTTAAAAAAGGTACAAATGAGGCTAAAAGAATTTATGTTATTTTTCCAGTTTCTGTGCTATAACTCCTTTTCCATCTCCTCATCTATCTTCGAAGTGTACTACATTATGAATGAATGAGCAATAAAAGAAGTATGCGGTGGCTGAGAGAGAAACTCAAGATAACAAGATAAAGCCAAAGCTTGAGCAGAACTGCAAGCTGAGATGTAGATCTGAATATAAAAGTTTCTCCCGTCTGAGTTTTAGGACAGTCATTAGATAGTTTACACGAAAAACTAATTAAAAATCAGTAGCACAAAGTGTGACCTAGCATATGCTATTTTTTTGCATCTGTCAAAGCCTTGGACCTGTGCTTTCTAGGGTTGTAACCCTGTCTTCAGGCCACACATGCTGACAATTCACTCATAGACTAAACTAAAAATAAATCTATATCATAGAATCAGAAAATCATAGAATCACAGAATGGTTTGGGTTGGACGGAAACTGAAAGATCATCTTGCTCTAACCCTCCTTCCATGAGCTGGGACACCTTCCACTAGATCAGAGCCTAATCCAGCCTGGCCTTGAACACTTCCAGGGATGGGACAGCCACAGCTTCTCTGGGCAACCTATGCCAGCGCCTCAGCACCCTCACAGGGAAGAATTTCTTCTTAATATCTAATCTAATCTGCCCTCTTTCAGTTTAAAGCCATTTCCCCTTATCACTAATCCCTTATAAAAGTTCCCTCTCCAGCCTTCTTATAGGCCCCCTTTGGGTATTGGAAGGCTGCTCTAGCATCTCTGTGGAGTCTTCTCTTTTCCAGGCTGAACAGGCCCAGCTCTCTCAGCCTGTCATTTTAGTGCCTTTGAAATCCCTATCTTCATTGAAAACTGGCAGAGGAAGGACAGGAAGCAAAGAAGTAGCTATAAACTATCCTAAGGTCAGGCAGTGGCAGTTACTGTGCCAAGGTGACATGGGAATTGCCTCAAGACCAAAAGGTATGACAATAATCAGCTACTACATGCAGTCTTTATATTGCTTGCTTTGAGGCTGCCAAGGACAGGATGGAACTCTGTTTGCCAGTGCTAGTGCACTGCTTACAGCCTGCTGGCTGCACAGCTTGTGATGTGCTTTCTCCTTGACACCTCCAGTTTATGCTACGTTTTTAGACTTGAGGTCCCTGCACACTTGTCCAGCCTTCAATCTGAACTTGACTCCTCCCTGCAGGCTGCTATTTCCTGCTGTAAATGCCCAGTGATGGTGTCTGCACAGTGAGCTTTCCAAACACCCATAACCGGAGAGGGAGGTTATAACAAAGGGTTAAGTCAAATTTTCATACCACTGACCTCTTTCCAACCTTCTAGGCTGCCCAGGTTTGGAGCTGCACAGATCAGCTGGGGTTTCTCAGGGGAAAAATTATGTGGCCACTCCCTGAACCCTGATAATCCCTCTGGCTGGGCTTTCCACTGCTGGTCTCTGCCAGGTTAGGCAGAATTTCGTCATCAAAATTATTATGGTCTCTTTCAAGTAAAGACCAGTGGGAAATTAATTGCTGGAATTAGGTATGTTTGCTAGCATTAACCCAATGTCGCTGCTGGGTGAGGTCAGTTGTAGGGCGCAGGACACAGAACAGGGACTAAGCTGGTTTCCAGTTTTATTTGTCAGAGACTGGGCTAGTAAACAGCAGAAGGAAGAAGATACAGGGACAGAGTTTCAAGGGATGTGATGGTGGAAGCTTGTTATCTTCCAAAGGAAAGTTGTGACAACTCAGGTATAAGCATGAGAGACCCCTACAAAGAAGAGAACATGAGAGAAGGCAGAGCAAGCCATGATGTCAAGGTGTTTGAGATGCTTGAGGGGGTCGATTTTTTAAAATGAGAATTGGTGACAAAACATGAAGCCAATTCCTTATCTTTCCTCTTACTCTTTATGCCCTAAGACAGACCTAGTTTTCTTGCAAAGTAGCTGGGGCATTTTGTATGCTCCATTATCCATGTGAGAGGAGGCAGAATACTTCAAACCCTCCAGAAAGTGTGTCTGACTATGGTGCATCAAAATCATACTTAGATTTCCAAATTGAAGCATTAAGTTGCGATATTTAGAACAGAGGATGCCTATATTATTAAATGATCATCTGCTCTGCAGGGCTGACTAATGTGAGACTTCCAGGAGGATAAGCATTGATAGCTTACCTATTTTTATTATCTATTTTTAATATCTATCATCTATTTTCTTCTCTTTCACCAGCTTGTGTTGTTTTCAAGTGTAAGAACTGAGATGCAGTTTATTTTTGAACCTCTGTTTACAAAGTTCTGGTACCTATTGTTGAACTTACCAAGCATTTTGCATGTGGCATTTCTTGTAAAGTTGTGATTTTCTTCCACTTCCTAATTCCACTACCATATGCCAAAGAACAGACAAATCTGAAGCACTGTACAATCTCATTGAGCAGTGGATAAGGAGGCTCCCATTTTACCTTTCATCCCTGGGCTGTGAAATTAGGCAAAGTTATCTTCCCTGCTCAACTCAACGTACAAATGGGGAATCAGCATTGCAGGCAGAACTCATTTGATACTGATGAGCATTTGCTACCTGGGACAACACCATCACCAGTCATGCAAAACCCACAGCTTTGGTGGGAATGTGGGTCTGGTGGCAACTCATGCTGGAGAGCAAAATCATCTCTGACTGTCACCCATCAAATGACCCTGGTATTTTGAAGAGAGTCTAGCTTGTATTAATGCATCATTCTTTGTTCTTCTAAACACAGATTCTGGAAGAAAACATGAAGTTAGAGTGCAAGTGCCACGGGGTCTCAGGGTCCTGTACCACTAAAACATGCTGGACCACTCTGCCCAAATTCCGGGAGCTGGGCTACATCCTTAAGGACAAGTACAATGAAGCTGTTCAAGTCGAACCGGTGAGGGCGAGTCGGAACAAGCGTCCAACCTTCCTCAAAATCAAGAAGCCACTTTCCTATCGCAAACCCATGGATACAGATCTAGTGTACATAGAAAAATCTCCCAATTATTGTGAAGAAGACCCTGTCACTGGCAGCGTGGGGACGCAGGGGAGGATGTGCAACAAGACAGCTCAGCAGTCCAATGGCTGCGACCTGATGTGCTGTGGCCGAGGTTACAACACACACCAGTACTCAAGAGTGTGGCAGTGCAACTGCAAATTCCATTGGTGCTGCTATGTTAAATGCAACACGTGCAGTGAAAGAACAGAGGTGTATACCTGTAAGTGAGCGCGTGGCCGGGCAGGCAGGCACGTCCCTGGCCATGGATACATTTGCACATGCACTCAGTGTACCTACACGAGACTGTAGGGAAGACCTGCTCTCCCAGAAGAAATGCTGATGAATGGAGCCCTCTCTTTTCCTCTCACGTTGCATTGCTTGTGTGGATACACATTTTAGACTCTCATAGTCAGCCAAGAAGCAAAAACGAACAAACCTCACCCTGAGCCACCTGACACACAACAGAGAGAGGAAAAGATCATCTCAGTTAACCTGCACCTCTAAAGCAAGAAGCATTGACTGCCTTGTGGAGAGACACCAGGCAGAGGGGAATCTCTGAGCGTGGCTACTAACTCTTGGTTTGGAAAAAAATGGTCAAACACTTCTGTGTACAAGGAGCAAGGAGGGGGAGGGGAAAATCCCTAAAAAAGGACTTAGCACAGGATGGGATGGACAGTGCCCCACTGTGCATTGCCCATGTGAGTGTGTGGATGACACAGATTTAGGCTTCTACACTCGTGAAAAGCTACTGCTGGTCTTGCCCATCTTTCTACTTCCTACCACTTGCTACAGCGAGTAGAACTGTTGAAGGTTTCTGTAGACACTGCTTTAGCTGCCTTTTTCGTGTGTGTGTGTGTGCTGCGGATTTTAGCACAGGGATTTGGGACACTTGGGCATAATAATAGCAATATTTAACAATTTATTCAGATAAAACTAATATTAATTTATTTAATTGAAAAAGAACTCTACCAACCTTTTTGGAACTATTCTGCAATTAAAGTAGATAGCTGGCTTTCTTTGTGGAATAATTTTGTAGGAACAGCAAGGAAAAACTGGAGCTGTATATATTATTCTTAACTAGGATATTTCTATTAGTTGGACTTGCAGGATATGTTCTACAGTACTAGATGTTTAAGTACAAAGCTGCGTCTTTATATATATGTACATACACAAACACACTGTTGTTTGGGGGGGTTTGTTTGTTTGTTTGTTTTCTCCTGTTTGCTGCTAGTTGTCTGGAACACAAGTGGAGTGGTAGAGGTTACCGATCTTTACCAGGTTTTGTGGTTATTTTTTTTTCTTCAATTAAAGAAAGAACCATTAATAAAATCCTGTTTGGAATATGTCTAAAAATAAGAAAATCCAGACAAACTTCCATCTTTTGGAAAAATCAACCATAGGATAAGAGAGTATATTTTGTAAGAGACTATTTTTATATAAATATTTTATTTATACTATGTCTGCTTGTTCAACCTGTACTTTTTCTCAAAACAGGCATACAATTTGTAATTCTTAGGCTATTTAACAGAGAAAGGGTAATTAGTCTGTGGACACAACAGCAGCAAGCTGGATGCATTCAGCTGCAATTGGTGGATGTGTCAGAAAGCAGAATGAACTTTCTCTCCGGATGTGTGTACAAACTGGCTCTTTTCCTGCAGCCCAATTTGCAGAATATGCAAAACAAGAACAGGGTATGTAGCATCAATTTTGTCACATGGCTTGAATTCATGATTGGTATTAACTGGATGCTCATTTATCCCATTCAAGAAAAAAAAATCCGAATTAGCTTCCCACATGCGTCAGTCATTAAACTGTGGCGTTATGACTCGCAAATGTGCTGTGTGTGCTGTCAGTTAAACCTTTATATTGTGTTACTGTCAAATTTGATTTTAATCAGTGGGAGACTGTAGACTATGACTGTAAAAACTAGCATGACACACATCGTCTGATTCTCATAGATAGGATACAAAGCTTACTTTTTTTGTCCAACTCTTTTTGGCATTTACATTATTCTTTCCCCCCAAAAGGCCAGAGCTCAAAAATCCAGAAAAACATCCAGACAAATTTAGAGGCAAATTTAAAGACTACTCACTTGTTTTTCAGAGACCAGCTAAGCCATTTCACATTCCCTTTATGGTATTTCCTTTTTATCACTGCTAATTTTTTCAGACATTTGAGTGGTAGATATTTCTCTGTGTTTGGAATCATTCTGTTCTCCTGCTTGACTCATTTGTGACCCATCCAAAAAAAACCCAATCAAGTTTTAATGTTGTTTTTCACTGGGCAGGATCATGGCCCAGCATCAGCAATGATATTGCATGGTGTCTGGGACAGACCAGGTTCTTCCCTACTTCCAGACTACAGGATCTCAACCCAAAAATGAGGCTGAGAGGCCTCAGTAAGGAAAACATTTCACTGACCCCTGTTGAGAGCAGCAAGTGTTACATGGAGGAGATGATACAGGTCTATCTTGTGCCCACTGATCTTTCTGAGGCAAAACTCCCACTTAAGACTGTGAGAGCAGAGAGGAGAAAGGAAACAGCATCACAAAATGTGTTGCAAAGTTTCAGTATAACAACCTAACCTTTTAGGACTTCCCCGAATGGGTTATACCTCACTGCTTGTATATATATTATCTATATCAGAGCACCAACCCAGGCAGTACCTGATCCTCGCAATGTGTAATCAGGGTTAATATGCAGTTTCTTTGCAGACCTGCCACTTAGAAAATAGAATTTTTATCCAGTTCAGACACCAGAATGGGATATCCAAATAAAGTTACTAACATAATTTACTTTCAAACTTAAGACTTGTCAATATAAAAATGAGGGTTTTTTGGCCATTGAGTCACTGTTTTAATTCTTCTAAATATTTGAATGCAACCACATACAGTAGGGAAGTTCATTACAACACTAGATTATGGTTAAATAATTCAGCTCTAACATTTAAGATTGGAATCTCTCCCCAGTTTGTATTGATTTTTGACTTAGTGGATACCATATCATAGTCAAAAGGTTTTTTTCTCCACTGATTAGAATTACTTTACAAATTATTATTTGTGCAGCATGTTTTTACCATAGAAAAGTAACCTGTAAAACTCCTGCTTCCTGTATCTTTCCATATGCAGTGATGTGCCATGTACAGCTAGCAGAATAATTATTGAAGGACAAATGTCTCTAAAGAGTTTTACTCACAATAATAAAAAGCTGGATGCACATTAAAATGAATTTGGTACACATTTTCCCTATATTTTATAATATTGGTGATGAGACAGTTGAGAGAAAACTAGAGAAATTGTCAGTTTGTTTGGTAACTGGAATAACAATTTGGGAACTCCGAATTAATGAGCAAGGAAAACCAAATGCTGCATTCAGCTAGAAAGTGTTTGGAAATTCGGCTGTGTCATCTTAGGTAGGAGAAATATGGCCCATCAGAATGTGCCATAAGTCTGGAGTTAATTGGTCACTGCCTAAATGGGCTTGAATGGCATGAAGAATAAACAGGAGAAGGAGAAAGATTTACGGGTTTGTAGATATTCCTCCCCCCGACAACAGTTTGTCCTTTGTCCTCAGGGATAGAAGAGCTCTGTTTTTACTTGGTGAAGAACCACACAATGGGAGTGAAATGCACACAACTGCAGAACAATACAGCTCTCAAAAGAAAATACATCTTTTCATCTGTGCTGGCCGAGGGAAGCACTGGGTTGCTGGCCACAGGAGTGACCTAGCTGGGGCTTGTAAGGAAACACATTCGAGGAGCAGGAGGAGTAAAAGGAGTAGGAACCATAAAAGAAGAAGTGTAACTGGAAGTTGGGAAGCTATTAATTATGAAATCTCCCTTTCTTGTTTGCTCCTGGAACCCTGATCGATGGAAATGAAGCAGTTCTGCCTTGGGATTCTGAAGCAAGTTTTAAGGATTTTACCTCTCGGCCTTTTTAAAAGGACAACTAACCTGAATACAATTAGCTTGATACTAGAAGTACCTACATAAAACATGAATCAGTCAATGATTAAGTTTTCTTTGCCATGTATACACAAACCTAATGGAGATATGTCTTTCAACAGTGATAATTAAACTGAAAACATCCTTAAAATGTACTCTTAAGTGGCTCATTTGGTGAAGTTCTTGTGAGGGGACATAGTGACTGAGAAAGGAAAACAATGGGCACGTACCATGTTGCACAAGGCTCTTGATGAACTCTCCTGTGGATTACAAAACTGTTTTGAACTGATCTCAAAAATCAGTTTTTTTGAATACAGAAACATTGCAGACTGCAGTCAGGGTGCACAAATTCAAATTAAGATTCAGCATAACTATTCCTGACAATATTGTTACTTTGATCCTTATAATGGATATGAGGAAATCTGCACTGTGAATGCCCCAAATGTGCATATTGACTCGTACATTCCCCTGCCCCCAACTTGTAACCCAAAGGAGTCAACTGAAAAAGAACCTCTCCAACTCTATTGTTGGTAAGAAGGACTGAACTGCAGACACAGCAACTGACTTGCCCAGTGAGGGCTGCCCAACCTGGCCAGTACTGCTGCTGTCAACCAACAGCAGTACAGACTGTGTCAGGCTGGAATGTTCCAAAAATGTCCAAAATTGAACCAAGTACAGAAGTTTTACCACACAGCAGAACTTCAGATGATAAAGCTCATGTAGATTCTAAAATGTACTCCCTTAATTCATAGCTATCTCAGAGAGTGGTCACCATAGTCATCACCATGACAAGTGACCTAATTTGCTAACTCAATTCATGCTCTTTTCTGTTCAAAAGCACACCAATAATTCCTCAAAGGAGAGCACCTTAATCTTGATGAAAAATTAAGGGAATCTTTCCTCTGGAAATAAGCAATTAACAACATATGATTAAGTCAAAATGCTGAAGAGATGTACTTGGATCTAAAGGACTCCAGGTGCTTGGAGAAGGACACCAGAACCTTGTAGTTCTGTCCAGAGGTGATGCTGTAAAACCCTGAAGGTTTCTTCTATTGCTTTTCTGAAATTACTGATTTTCCTGTCTTCTTGTTACATATTCATAGATTCATCAATAGCACATACCATGTAGTGTGCAATTGGGAAATCAGAAACAAGTCCCAGAGAAATCTCTAAACTTCTAAGTGTAGCACAATGTATTTACTACTGGTGTTAGGAAAGATGCCTGCTTTATAAAGAGATTTGATATCTCTGGGCTTCAGAGGAATGTTTCCAGGATTGTGTGTGGAAAAAAAAAACCAACATAAAAAATAAGGAAACGAGGATGGTATCAAAATTACATCACTTGCCCATATTATTAACACATAGCCAAATGCTCTTAGCACAGGAAGCTTAACCCTGGTTTTGTGTCT